TTTCTGTATTGGGTTGGTGTTAACAGGGATGTAAGTTTCTTTGTCCTCTAATAGCTTGTTAACTTTTTGCAGGTACTGTGATTTATCCATAATAACTGTGGTGCGGCCTCTGTCTGCTGGGAGGATGATGATGGTTTGGTCCTTCTTTAGGCTATTGAGGGCTGCTCTGTCCTCTGCTTTGAGTTGCTGTTGATACCGTGTTCTTCTGATCTGTGGTAAGATTACCCACCTTATGTTTTCTTGGGTCTCTGGGTTGAGTCCTGTCGTTTTGAATGCTGCTTCTAGGGCTGCACAGAAATCTAGCTGATTGGCATTGTCCATGTTGTAGTTGAGGCCTTTCTTGAGGCCTCAGCTACAACCCCATCCCATTTTAGCACTGAAAATGTTACCTAGCCAGGTAATGAAACGTTTGCAAGAAAAGAACCAAGCTCAGAGAACCCCAAGGGCTCCACAGTTCAACTCTGAGCTATACATATTCACCTCTATTGGTCCTCACAGTTTTCTTGGAAATGTTTTCAAAAGTGGTTTGCCATTGCTTTCTTCTCAGGGCTGAAAGAGAGGGACCTAGTGCAAAGTCACCCAACTGGCTTCATGCCTAAGGCAGGACTAGAACTCACAGTCTCCCATTTCTAGCCTGATTCAAATGGTATTTATTTTTATCTTGTCCCTGACTTTTTGGGGGGATGGGGAGAAATATGACTTCTCTACCCACCATAAATGTATGCATATAACACATTTGTATGCATGCACATGCATACATAAACACATACAAGTGTGTCATGTACCTACATTTATGGTGAGATGAAGAAATCTTCAGGACTGATTTCAGCTGCACTCAGCAGTCCTAGTTTGACAAGGTAGGGAAACTTGGCATTGGAGACAAATTTTGTTTAGGAATTTTTCCAACCTACTTTTATCGTTCCTTCCTTTTGTGGGGTTGTCATAAATTCAGGATTATTTTTCTTTCAGGTGAATATGGTAATTGAGAAATAGAATTTGCTAATAATTGAAATAGGAATTTCTAACATGATATAAAGCTATATACATCATTTTATCTTATTTAAATGAGTTGTATAATGTGTGTCTTTGGGGTGAAAATGTGGCAACTGAATATACATCAAGGTTCTAAGTTCTTGATGATTTTTTGAGAGTAGTACTTTCACAGTATACTTCTGTTTGAATCTTTATTATGTGAAGATATATTTTATATTTTGTTATGTATAAATAATATTCAAGCACATACATTTATAATAAATTTAGAATAACATTTTGTTGGATCCAAGGTTTTGTTTGTCTAGTTTTCTATCCCTTCCTCTCTTGCAGCTCTTCCAAAGGAGAACTGTCCTGAGTAGCAATAGCTTCTAGTGGCAAGTAGGAACCATTCAAACCTTAAGGAGCTTGTACAAATGCGGAAAGAAGGAAGGGCTGGGAGATATGCTTGTATAAAGATTGCTTATGTGAACTTTGACTCTAGTATATTATGTCTGTAATATATTACATTTATCTGAATGTACATGGATACTTCGATTACATACAATAACTTTTTTCTGTTTTTATAATATTTTCTCAGTACAGTGATGCTTTCATCCTGAGTAACTTAACATGCTGTACATTTTGCCACTACTGAGAAGAAAAATGAAGTATTTCCAAATGAGTAGCTGTTTTTGCCAGAAATTATTTTTACATTTGGATATATTTGGTCTCATTGTCTAAATAAACAGTATTGTCTTAAAGTGAAAAGAAGAAGAGAGAGATTGTGTACCAAAGTTAACATGTTCCATTTTATATTCTTCCAGTTAGTTAACTGCAAAGGGATCAAAGAGTTATATAGCATTCACAGTGTCAAACATTGCACAATATAAGGGAAAATACAGACTTGTTTATAGAAGCAGAGCCATGTTTATAGGTTACACTGTTCAGGCATTTTTGAGATCCATTCATGTTTCTTGTTTTTGTCTTCATATTATAGTCCACATGATTTATCTGGATTATTCTGAATTCCTTGCAGATCAGAGATGTCTACCCACATGTTATGCAGTCGTTTGCTACACATGTTGCAGAGGAAATTTAATATGGCCTTGTAGAATTGACCATTGAAGAGTTTATGATGTCCACAGGTACAAGTGGGAAAAAATCCTATCAGGCTGTGAGCCTAGAAGGAGTTGACCCAGAAACATGTATGATAGTGTTTAAAACTCACTGGGCACAGGTAATGGAGCTCAGAGAGCTTTTCTTCTTTTACTGATCTTTAATGTGGATTACATTGTCAGGAATCCATTTAAACTGTTAGAGAATTGCTTGTATTGTCAGAGTACAAGCCAGTCTCATATTGTACAATGTTAACTGACACCAAAATGTATCTTTATTGACTTTTGAAAAGCAGTAGAATCTGCTGCTTTATTTTTTTTTAATTGTTGTATATTAGGGATATAACAATCAATTGAATAAGATCAGGTTCTGCTTAAGATTGCTGCCCTCTACTGCAAGTGAAATAAGGCCCTTTAAATATAATTGTGTTTTGAATCTTCATGGAAGTTCAGTTCAGTTCTTTGCCTGGTTATACCTGTTAAATCCCATCAAAGCACTATTTGTGCTGAAATACTGCATTAATATATTTAGAACATGCAGTATATTATTTCTGAATCCTGTATGATTTATTTTTAATCAGTGTTCCCTACACTGATTGGCAGAGGTGCACATATATTTGTCAACTGAGACCCTTCCAGTGTGGGTATTAGTATTAATCTAGTATTTTAACACCTTATATTTAAACTACTGAACCTTTATTCTTTAAATGTGTTTACCCATAAGTGAAGCTAGAAAGATATTGGGTATTTAAGTTCAAGTGACCAAGAGCATTTTCAGTTGCTCAACTTTAATGTTGGTGAATAGACTGATAGTGCGCTGCTCTTCTTAAGTAGCACAATTGGTTGGATTAGCTATTTCAGCAGAGATATTGCAAATAAGTAATGCATAAGCCATTTCCACTTGTTAATCCATAGCTTGTCTGTCACGATACATTTGGAATGTTTTGAATTATTATGAAGATATTTGTTCATAGATAGTTTTTTGTAACATCTTCAAGATTGCGAGAGTGATGCCATATTTTAAGGTGTATTGTATTATCAAATATATGTTATTTCATTTTTCCATAGGTTGTGAAAATCTTAGAGAAGCATGACCCTTTAAAAAATATTCAAGCAAAATATGGGACAATTTCTCCAGATGAGGCCAGCACTGTGCAGAACTATGTAGAACACATGCTCTTCCTTTTAATTGAAGAACAGGCAAAAGATGCAGCAATGGGACCTATCCTGGAGTTTGTGGTGACCGAGAATATAATGGAAAAGCTTTTTCTTTGGAGTCTCAGGCGGGAATTCACTGATGAGATGAAAATTGAGCAACTGAAAATGTATGAAATGCTTGTCATACAGTCTCATCAGCAGCTGCTGCATCACAAACCCATCCTAAAACCATTAATGATGTTGCTGAGTTCCTGCTCAGGAACTACCACACCAGCCGTTGAAGTAGAGCTGGTGGTTCTTCTTAACCAGCTATGCTCAATCTTAGCCAAAGATCCATCCATTTTGGAACTTTTTTTCCATACTAGTGAGGACCAAGGAGCTGCAAACTTTCTTATTTTTTCTCTCTTGATTCCTTTTATCCATCGAGAAGGGACTGTTGGCCAACAGGCTCGTGATGCACTACTTTTTATAATGTCTCTTTCTTCAGAAAGTTGCGTGGTTGCTCAACACATAGTAGAAAATACTTATTTTTGTCCGGTAAGTTTTTCCTAGCTACTCATTCTGCCTTCCAAAAATGGATTCCTTTTTTAATGAATGTTCAAGTTAAGTTTTTGCATAAAAGAGAATTAATTTACTTGATGAATTGTAATTTTATTATGGCTATATAGAAATTCTAAATGATATAACGGGAAAACTGAATTTATTCAGAAATCCCATCACATTGAATTGGGAAGTGAATTTGTCTTAACTTAAACATTCAGCTTAATGAAAATTCTAAGAATAATGCAAATTAAAAGCTAAGCTTGTATATTAAATTCTGGTTGCAATTACACTGAAACGTGATTTGTTAGCAGAAGATGAAAAGAACTGCCAATTTATTGCAGATTGAGTGCTTGTGATTTACTGAGGATAATATCAATATATATTTATCTTACTATTATTTACTGTGGGAATTTGTAAATGTTTACTTAGAAGTATACCCCTTTGAATTCAGTGGGACTTACTAGCAGGTACTATGGCCCTATTGAATGTCAAATATTTTGTCAGAACTGCCTTTCTTCCCCAGTTCTGCTTCCAGAATTTTGGTTGAGTTTTCCTTTATAGGAGATTCACATGAGTTTTTTTCCAAGAAATATGATTAGACAGTTTAATCATACTGAATTCAATTCAGGGACCAAACACTAGTTACTTTCTGCATCTCAGCTTACCACAACAATAACTATGATTTTTCAATGCAACTTTGCACTAACTTACTGTATTTCTTCATACTAATTCCTGGTCAATTGCTGTAAATATCTTTATTTTGTTTTCAGATTTAATTAATGTATTTATTTTGTATAACAAATATAATACAAACATATCTCAAAACAAATCATATTAGTAAATAAATATGAGATGTAAGCCTACAAAAAGGGCTTATAAGTTTATTAGAAAGAACAATGAAGGAAGAGGGATGAAGGGAAAAGAAGTGGAGATATAAGATTGATAATGCCAGAACAAAACACTACATTGAAATATATCCAGTTGACTCTGGCAAGATCTTGCAGGTAATCTAGATCTTCCTGGTAAGCTTGCTTTGATAGAGTTGATACAATTCTATGATGGCTCTTCATCTTCTGTTTTGTGACAAAATTTCTGTGTACTCTTCTTCACTTTTACAAACTCAGAACACATCTTTATTCAATGACCAGCAAATTTAAGAGAACAGTGACAGAGTGAAACAAAAATATACTAAAAAACAGATCACATAATTTTACATTCAGACCTCTATAACCATATTAGTACATTAATTACCCAAGTAATAATAAATTTAAAAACTAAGGTTTAGAGTAAATATCCCCTAGCAACTTATTAATTAAGAAATATTGATCTGAAAGTGATATTAGGAGTAAAAATAAAAGTGATCTTCTTAAACCAATTATTTCTTTAACTGTTTTTACCTGAGATTCATTGTGGCAACACAAAATTACCTGCATAGGTAAAAGCGGGTTTTAAGTCCTAGAGAAGATGATTCAGATAAAATTTGTCTGGTTTCCCTGGGAATTTATCTATTAGGGGCAAAATATAAATAGACCTTATATCCCTATAAAATTTGCAATGTAATTCAACATGTGAGATGTTTTCAACTTCCTTGTCACCACATGGGCAGGTGCGCTCTGCTGTGGGGATTTTATTATACCTGACTTGAAGTAGTGCTGATGGAAGAATGTTGTATCTAGCTTTAAAAAAAGAAAGTTAGGGTTTGCAAATAACATGCTGGTTCCCACATACCCCTATTTATCCACATTCTATCAAGTTGGGACAGCCTGTTAATTTCAGTTTGGAATTCTACATCCCTTATTCTTTGAATAATTAAATGCTTGGCTTGATCATAGACCACTGATATCAAAGATGGAAGAGAGAGCCCATATGAAGCCAAGTTGTGTTCCACTGTCTGTTTCCAGGGAGAAGAAAAATTATGTGTTAAAACTAAGGGGGTCAGTCTGACTGGAAAGAATTGTATTTTAAACCAGTAAATTATCATAATCTTCCAGGCCCTAACCTGAATTAATAGCATTCCTGTCTCGAGTGCTTAACCGGGCATTTGGAGTTCCATTGGGAGTGGCTAAAATGATCACAAAAATTTTGGTTGCCCAATTCCTGTGGCTCCTTCTTCACATAAATTCTTGTTTGTGCTTCATAAAGAAGAGCCAATGTTTTGGCCTCAAACAGTTTTAAAGCCGCAGGAACTAATTGTCTTCCACCAGTATAAAAAAAACTTTTACAGGCTCAGTATTTACCAAAGATTTATTTCCAGTAGGGATGACAGTGAATGGTGTTCTTAGTGTGATGTAATGATCTTCCTGGAGAAAAAAATGGATCTTATGGAACAAAGATGATAAATATTAGGCATGTTCTCTGTTTTAATATTTTGGGGACTATCACAAAGTTATACGCATTTTGGTAGAAATTGAAAACTAGACAGGACATTGGACATCTCCCCTTTCCAGGAATATATTTCAGATAATATAAACAGGTCCAAATTCAGGATATATTATATACTATAGTTATATCAACATGTCTTTTGTCTTTCCATATATATTTCTCTCCCAAACAATGAAATTGAGCAAGCGAAAATAATTCTATTGTTAAGAGATGTCATAATCCTAAACATTGGTGTAATGTTGACTTTTCATGTAATCATAGAATTAGAAGGGACCATTTAGACACTGAGCCTAATCCCAAGCTAAGTGCAAAAATCCAAGTTCAAGCATCACCAACAGATGGCTGCCTATTCTCTGCTTGAACTGATGGGAGACCACCACATCTCCAGGAAATTGGTTCCACTGTCAAATTGCTCTTAGCGGTAGAAGTTTTTTTCTTACAGCAAACAAATCTGTCTTCCTGTAACATAAATTGATTATTTCATGTATTGCTTTCTGAGACGATGGAGAACATGTCTTGTCTTTTGTGTTGCCTTCTTTTAGACAATTGAAGAGTACTATCCTATCCCCCTTGGCCTTCATAAGCATTCCCAATTCCTTCAGGCATAGGACTTAGTTTCACCTACCATGTACATCCTTGTTTGCTTTCTATGACCCTGTTCCAGTATGTCATAATCTGATTGGGCTCCCTCAGTGCAGAATAAAATGGAACCATTATCCCTCCCACCTCCACTGTCATTCTGTATAAAAAATATTTCTGGCACAGAGAAATCTTGTTGGTTTAATTTAAATGAATACATATAAAAAGTACTTATTTTAAAAACTGTATTTCAAGATAGATACTTTTATTATATCCATGCTATAATGTACCCATTTACACTTGACAATTAATTTTTAGGAAGTCTTTTTACTCAGAAGATTATAGCGAAGTGCATTAACCTTCAAACAGTAGGGGCCGTTATTGACAAAATACATTCCTAATTAGAATAATTGTCTTAGTATGTTGGAGTGAGACAAGCAATAAAGGTAGCAAACCCCAGGCTATAATAAAAAGAACAGAGTCCATTCCTGAGGGTTGTTCAGTTGTTAAATATCTGTAACATGCAGCCTTTGTAAGAATGATCTTTCCAGTTATGGGAGCTCTGGTCTCCCTTTGAGAAAACTCAGAATGATGCCTCAGGTTTCTGGTTGATATCAGACATTTATTCAAGCAAAAATTCTAAAAGGAAAAAAGGTTTCTTACTGTCATTTCCCAATGGATGCAACAGAATAATCTCATTCTGATTAAAGTGAATTAATTCCATTTGGATATTATACTGTATATAACATTTCCTCCCTTATGATTTAAATAAAATATAGACAGCAGCAAAACTGTATCCTTCAACTTGAAATTATGCTGTTCTTTTTAAGATAATATTTTTTGGTGGGATTTATTTAGGACATACATTCCATTTTAGATGTTGAAGGGTTTCTCCTCAAAACAGGCATACATTTAATAAAATTACATGTATTTCAAGATAGATATTTGCAGATACTTGCAAGATAGATACTTACTTGATGCTTGCAGACCAATAAAATAGTTTGATTTTGAGGTGGCAGTTTATGTGAATCCAATTACTGTGATTTATACACCAGGCTAAGCATATTGTATGAACCCAGGCAGTTGTGATTCATTTAATAAACTCTGGTTAATCAAACCAGACATAGCACAGTGTTTGAATTCTGTCAATAATGTTTCTATGGGAGTTACTTCTATTTGGCAAACATTTCATGCCCTGGCTATAATGTTTTCTGGCTTCATAAATACGTTCTGCTTCTGGAAGCAGCTAGCAATTATGAAGATCCATGCTCACATATATAAGAAGCTATGCTAGATATTATAATTAGGGTTTAGAGAGTTGACCTTGGAAATGTCATCCCACAAGGAAGTTTAAACCGGTAAATCGTCCTCCCACAAGCGCAGTTTATAGCTGTGATTTGCATGCAAAGTACCTCCCAAATCTACTTTGCTGCTGGCAAGGTTAATCAGTACTGGTGTCAATAGATGAATTGGGAATTGCCTCCAGTGGGTTGGGAGCAAAGCATGACCAGTATCAAAGACAATAGATTCAAGATTTTAATTAAACCAGATCAGTTTAATACGCAATGTCTGAACATAGTAGTACTTTAAGTAGTAAACAACATAATTAAGTTATTTTGGTACACTTTGGCAGATTTTCTGAACAATACAGTAGTACTGCAGTTTCTTATCCTGTGCAAAATTGCTGTGGCCCATGGTAGTATATTATTAGATAATATTTTTCCACTACGAGGACTTCATCAGTTGTGATGATCTCACATGGGCTGTTTCTAACATTCAGCAAAATTCAATTTGCATTGAGCTGAATTTTCCCAGTTGTCATCTTGATCCATTGTGGCTATTCTAGAATTAGCAGAATTGAGTGAGTTCACTGAGTCCTGAAGAGCAAACTCTCCCCCCACTCCCCCATATCCTATGATATACAAGGAATCTTCCTCTGACCCAGTCCTGTTGTGCTTTTGAGAATATCTGTAATGTTTTGGTTTGGAGAAACAATATACAGTGGTACCTCGGGTCACGAACTTAATTCGTTCCGCGACTCTGGTCGCGACCCAAATTTGTCACGACCCCAATCAAATTTTCCCATAAGGGTCCAATTTAATACGGGTTATCTTTTATTTACCACATGGTTTTTTTT